TTATTTCAATTAACAAAAATATTTTAATATAGTTTTAATTAACAATAATAACACTGCTTTACAGTTGCCTAGCTGCACAAATTGATGTATGCATATTTATGTATATAAGTGTATATAAGTGCAGGTTTGTGGCTTCACCTGCAGTATTTTACAGTGTTTTCAAATGTAGCTCATCCTATCAGATTTCAGAGCTGGAACTATGTGTTTTATAACTAGAGCTTTTGTAATGGCTCAGTTAGTCTGTAGAACAAGTTGTCTTATAGATGTTATTATTTATCTACTGTTTAGCAAGAAGATATCAGTTCTTCCTCGAAATAAAAAACTGCAGCAATATAAATGTATCACAAGAACAGCAGGGTGTATCTGATCTTAACCTCATGAGGACATTTACTCTCAAACATTTTTTTTTTATTGTTTTGTGTGTGTGTGTGTGTGTGTGTGTGTGTGTGTGTGTGTGTGCGTTTCATGGCTCATGAGACTCAATGGAGTTCTCAGTATCACACTAAGATGTCTCTGCTTAAATTCACAATATATAAATAGAGACCAAACTGTTGTCAATTGCAGAATTCAGATCATTTGGTTATTCAAAAAAAAAAAAATTGTTGTTTTGTTTTGTTTTTTGTGCATTCACTTTTTCTTATTATTGAATTTTTGTTTGTCATTTCTGTCTTCTTATATCTTTTAAATTATGCATAAAAATGGACACAGTAAATAAAGACACTGCATTTTTTATTGTTGAATATCCCATCACTTGGAAAAACAACAATGTTCTAATGGAGATGTCCTAATGGAGTTTCATGTTGACTTTTGGCAAACATCTCCATTTACTCTCCATCTATCCATCTATGTCATCTTTGGACGTTAGTTGAAAATGGAGCATAAATGTGATGTTTTGTGTTGTATTTCTGTGTGCCGCTCACTGTGATAGCTTGTGTGTCTGTCAATTGTCACATTCGCTGAGCTCCAGTGACCTGTGCAAACACAGCTCACACTTGGCTCAGAGTCATTTCTCTTTTTAGAGAGGGAGGCAGTTTAATTCACTCGGTTTATAAAGAAGGCATGGAAACCGTGACAGCTTTAAGTGGGGAAAATTTTTATTTTTTAGCCTCAGGAACACTCCAGTCACTACCAAATATGGACCGGACTATTCATAAAATATTGTAGGATATAACAAAATATCTTAACACACAGGACAAAAATGTACCTGTGGCAACATTGCTGCAAAATAATATTATATTGCTTCTTGCAAGTTTTGTGGAGCTTTTAAGGTGAAATGTCCAGTGAGAAGAATGCTCTAAAAATCCTGGTAGACTACAATGCCGGCTGTTCGGACTCACAGACTGTAAGAACGTTTTTTATATTTAAAGAATTTGCCACTGATGATTCAAACGTGAGTTTTGAGCAGTGTAGAGTAGCGCTTGTTGTTTGTCATTTCTCCGATCACAAATGCAGACATGGTTTTATGTTTACGCGGCACGATGCAATGCAACGCAACGCATAAAAAGACAGTATAAGTCATTATAATCAGTAATTATGTCCCCACTGGATGCTACAAATGCCTCGTTTATAATGGGTTTTAATGTTTTTGTCTCGTCGCTCCGGCCGGACACAGCATCACAGTATGGTGAGGGGCGTAACATTTCCGTCACACGCTTGAGGTATTCGGCCAATCACAACGCACTGGATAGCTGGCCAATCACAGCACACCTCGCTTTTCAGACCGATGAGCTTTGTAAAAATCGAGGCGTTTCAGAAAGGCGGGACATAGAGGAGAAACAATAATGTACAGTATGTGGAAAATAATGTGTTTTTTTAACCTTAAACCGCATAAACACATTTCATTACACAAAATATTGTTCGTTTTAGCAACATCATATGACTCCTTTAAAGAGAGTAAACTTTCATGACTGTTTCTTAGTTCACCCAAAAATGAAAATTCTTTCATCATTTATTCACTCTCAGGTTGATCAAAACCTAAAAAGTCAAAGACTTTGGTGAATCTTTGAATCACAAATTAAGATGTTTTTACAGAAATGTGTCCCTCCATTGAAAGTCCAGGTAGCCAGAACCTAGAAGATAAAAAAAAAAGCCATACAGGTTTCATAATATCAATCCATTTGAATCAACCCATATGAATAAAAGCCTAAATTAAGTCTTTTCATCATAACAAAGTGTATCTCCTCACAAGACTTGGATTAAACCATTCGATTCACATGGATTTATTTAAGACACCTTTTTGGATCTTCTACATTCATGGACCTTCTAAGTTCATCTACATTTATTTTCATTCACATTCACATTTATTCATTCAGCAGATGCTTTTATCCAAGACGACTCACAATTGTCATGCCATTATTTGAGCCCTTTGCTCAGCTTATGTCTCACAGAGTCCTTTGCACGAGTTAAACACCAGTTTGAATGAGTTGCTTTGGACCCAGTAACCTGGTTAATGCAAGACACCACCTCATTTACAGAGCTGACATTTATAGAACTAAAGATTTGCAGACCAGGACTGAAAAAAGCTTTATCTTTGCCTGAGGATTTGCATAAACGAACTGAGCATTGGTTAAGAAAAAAGGTCTTTCCAGTATTGTCTATTAAACCCCGGGTGTTACGGTTAAAGGCGCTCGCATTTTAACATTTCAGAACGAAATAAGATCAAAAACCTTCGGTGTTCGGAAATGAATTTTAACGGAGCCCAACCTGCATGAGATTGTGATGCGGTTATTGCTCTTTTACCATTTTCTGTAGATGAAAGATGTGGGTGGCTGAAACCAGCCCAGAATTCATAATGAAATATCAGAAGCCAGTTTAGCAGCAGGTCTGTGGTGGTTTACACATTCTCTGCTGAAGCATCTGCTCACAAACATCAGCGGCTTTGGATTTGGCACTTCCAGGATCCCTGGAGGAGCATCCCAGAGAAACTCTCCCAACTGACAAATGATCTCCTGCAGAGAGGAGGTGCTCTCCTCACAGGCACCTGCTGTGTGCGCTCTAGATGATGAGTCACACTGATTTTAGCCCCGAAGCCTCATGCTTGGTGTCCCCCAAAATATGTATTTATTTATTTATTTATTTATTTTTTGAGTTTGTAATACGAGATGCCAAAATGAAGAACTGGCCATTATAAAAAAAAATTATAATAATAAAAATAAAACTTTTAAAAGGAGAACTGTATTACGGAAATAATATACTTTAAAGAAAATAATATACTAATTATTATCAGAACATTAGCTGCATCTTATTGAAAATTAAATAAAATATCTATTATAGTTTACATTTAAATTAAATGCAATTATTTGAACAATACTTTGACCCACTTAAGTGGAACTTAAATTCATCTTTATATATAATTTCATAATTATTTCAGTTGTCTTTTAAATATGGTTATAGTGTACTGACAAATTTATTGTCAAGCATGTATGGTACGGTCATTTCTGGTTAAACTTATATGTCATGTATTTAAATATATTTGTAATTATACGTTAGTAATGATGAAGTTGCAATTTAGTACATTTAAAATATATTACCTTTAAATATCCAATAACACGCTACAGTTTCAAATGACTCTACATTTGTCTTAGTATGTTAGTCAACACATCAAAATAATTGTACTTTAAAACACAAAAAAATATTAAAACAATGTTTTAAAGTAAACATTTTAATATTACATTATTACAAAGTGCACTTTTAAAAGTCAGTCATCAAAGTAAACTTTAAATTCACTTAAGCAGCCATTTATTTCATTAATAATATATGATCTACAAGTACAGTTTATATATATATAAATGTGTGTGTGTGTACCTGGTATTTATCACGTTGTGGGGACCAAATGTCCCCACAAGGATAGTAATACTAGTAAATGTTTACCTTGTGGGGACATTTTTGAGGTCCCCATGAGGAAACAAGCTTATAAATCATACAGAATGAGTTTTTTTGAGAAAGTAAGAATGCACAAAGTTTCCTGTGAGGGGTAGGTTTAGGGGTAGGGTTGGTGTAGGGCAATAGCACATACAGTTTGTACAGTATAAAAACCATTACACCTATAGAATGTCCCCATAAAACATGGAAACACAACATGTGTGTGTGTGTGACCCTGGACCACAAAACCTGTCATATATTTTTTGAAACTGGGATTTATATTGAAATTGAGATATGCTTTTTTAGCTATTGCTAAAAATATACCCAAGCGACTTAAGACTGGTTTTGTGGTTAATAAGCAGCAAATTAGGAGTTTATTGAGGCAAAAGTCGTAGTTAATAATTAGTTCATAGTTAAAAGTGTGCTAATGTGTATTGTTCACAAGGGTTTGTTGTGTTCGCAACAACATAACAGTCATGTAGTGTGTGATTGATTCCCTTATTTTTCTTCAACAGTTTATTTAATAAGTCAGCAAATGTGTGATGGCTAGTATTTTAAAAATTATTCAGATTTCAGGAGTCATGTAGCGTAGTCTGATTATGTACTGATAAGCATATCCACTGTATGTTCAGTCATATATCAGTGCATATTTAATCCCATTAATGAGATTGATATCTAGAATGGAAAGAGATTTAATGACTTCAGTTTCACTGTGTTCCTCACACAAAGCTATCATATGGCCTCAGAAGACTTGGAAATTAAAAGCAGCACAGCGATAGTCCATTTGACTTGTGCATTGCAAGTCTAATGATCTACTGCTGTGGTACTTTTCATTTTGGAGCCTGTCAGCCCCTGGTTACCATTCACTTTCATTTTATGAAAAAATATATAGTGTGAATGATCTGCAAAACATCTGCATGGAAAAAACAAAGCCACACAGGTTTGAAAATGAGGCAGTTTTCTTTAATGGGGAAACTAAGATTTTAATGGAAAGCTTTATGCTAATGTGTATAATCACATTTGCCAGACGCACATCGTTTCGTTTGGCGGAATAGCATGTGTGAGCATATTAGCTGGTCTGTGCATCACCACACAACAAAAAATAATCAGAACTCTGGGTAAAGTGTTTTTCTGTGTAGGTGCCACATCCGTGTGATCGACACCTTTGGCACGGAGCCAGCATACAATAATGAGGAGTACGCCACACTGAACGGCTACAGAACCAACTGGGGCTACTGGAACCTCAACTGCAAACAATACATGACCATGTTCCGTAAGTCTGTGACTGCTTATTACTGGCTGGAGCTGAATCATGACACGATTGTCTTGTTAGAGCTGCTTTACAGCAGAATTTGGCTTTGCTCGTATTTGAAATTTTGGTAACACTTTAGATCAAGGAACGCATATTCACTGTTAACTAAGAATTTTGCCTCAAACTTCTAATTTGCTGCTTATTGAGAGTAAGCAAGGTAGTTGTTGCGGTAGTTATGTTGAGGTATTGGATAGGGTTAAGGGATCTACAATATGGTCATGCATTAATATATGCTTTATAAGTAAGGGATAATGTACATCTAGCCAGTTGTTTGCTTCGCGTCGGGGGTTATTCTGCGATATGTAAATAATTAGACACAAAATATTGATTTGAGTTTAAATATTTGAACGCAATGCTTCTGTGAACACAGCAGCTGCGAGCAAGCGGCAAGTTCAAACTAGATGAATATTTAAGGGATATGGTACAATCATACCACTTATTACACAACATTTCACCACATGAATAATTAAGGCGATAAAAGATATTGATTTAAGACAAAACTGTTTTAAAATCTTACCAGTTTGTTAGTTCTCTTATAATCCATTACAGCGTACAAAACAATCGCAGCAAAATGGCAGCAGCTGCGTTTGTATGAAACAAGAGAGAGCGAGTCTGCGATTCCAGGATGACATAATTAAATAATTGTACTGCAAAGCTTCCACCAAGAAAAACGGTTCCTAGCAAGATTATAGTGCCTACTTCAGTTACCCGGATGAGCCTGTGTTATAAGCTTTTACCGGTTGTTATGATAACATACCTCAGAATATTGTGACTGACCAATCAGAGTCAAGTATTCCACAGAGCCATGTAATAAGAGCTAAAGAACAGCCAATAAATAAATAAGTAAATAAAAACTAGCTATCTGCTGTATTATCAATTTACAATGGATTAAACTAAGTCTATACCTTTTTGCACATTTAAAATGGTGTTTTGTTTGGAAATATGTCATATTACGGAAGTTAGACACTGTAAAAAAAATATATTTTTAACAGTAAAAGTCACAAAATGCTATGTAAAAGTAAAAATACTATGGTAAAACTGGTTAATTGGTTAACAATCAGTTTCCTTACTATACTCATGGATTACATTTTATGTAATTAAAGTAAAATACATTTCAGGTAATTGAAATTATATGTAATCTTATAATTTACAGTATAAAACTCTAAATTGCCATTCTCTGTGGCAGCTCACATTTAATTTTTAATTGAAATAAATGTTTCCTCTCAGTTTTTTGTTAGCAGTTATGACGTCATATCTTATGTTGTTAAATTAATGTTTACGGCATTATTTAGTGTCACTATTTTTGTGTTTGTGCCAGATAAATATAGCTGTATTCAGTTTTACAGTGTTAACATTTTGGTAGCACTTTCTATGAAGCCCATTTTTATAACAAATTATACGGGTATTCTTAAGACATTATAATGAATGCATAATGCATTATAAAAAATACAATACAAATACAGGCACCTGTACAAATACAATACAATTGTAACGGAGGGAACACAGGAAGCGTGCGGATCCATCTGCAAGGCTTTATTTGCAAGAGACGTGGTCAAAAACAGGCATAGGTCAGACAATGGCAAACAGGTATATTGATGGCAAGGCAAGAGGGATAATCCAGGTACAAGGCAAAGGTCCAGGCAGGGGCGAACAGTATCCAATTGGGCAAGACTCAAGGGATAATCCAGGTACACAGGCAGTGATCAGAACACGGGGAAACAGACAAGGCAAGATGATGAAAACAAGACACTAGGCTCGGTAAGGCAGCTAACACTAGGGGAGTGGAAAATGCTAGACAATACTCTGCAATCTGAACAGAAACTGAGTGGGTGTTAAATAGAGTGAGTAATGGCTCTCAGGTGAGTGTGTGATTAGTGAAGGCTGTGTGATCAGTGAATTCAGCTGTGTAAGTGCAATGGATGTTGGGAACTGTAGTCCGGAGTGACATGTAACAGCCTGTGTAGTGTGAGAGTCAATGTAATGGTAGAGTGACCTCTACTGGTAATCGGCCGGAAAGCCACGGACCGGATTCGTGACAACAATACAAATACAGATACAGTCTGCAACATAACAAAGTCAGGATAATCCACTTAATTTATAATGGATTATAAATCTCATAGTTTGACATTATTTATTTAAGATCTGTTCAGTATCTTACTATCTTACTGATATTACAATATAGCTAAAATCAAATGTGCCATATTACACATCCATTTTATTTTTTTATTAAAAAAATATTTATAAATTGTTATAAATTAATTATTTATTTATTTATAAGTTAATTATAAGTGGTCTTTGTCTGCTTTAAGTAAAGTAACAAGTTAACACTGGCAAGATATGAGACTTATAATACATTATAACTATGGGAAATATAATCCATTATAAATTAAGTGGATGCATTGTGTTCATTGTGTATTATAAATCATCATAATCTTAAAAGCTATAACCACAAATAAGTAAATATTATAATGCATTACAACTGTTGTTATGATTACTCATGAGATTATAAAACATATTATAAGTTAAAAAAAAAATAATATATATATATATATATATATATATATATATATATATATATACATCCACA